TTGTAAGTTACTCCATTTCCCCCATACCCAAGATATAAAATGAAAAATCCAGATAAAAATATGTTATATGGTTTGTCTAGTACCGCCCAGAGCAAGAGACCCCAAGACAGTGAGGGCAGGTCAAACAGAGAGCACAAAGGAGAAATTTTAGTGGGACAGGGCCAGTTTATATGGGGGAGAGTCTGATTTATGTCCCCAAATGTCTTTCTGTGTGGATCCATCCACTGGGCCCACCAAAACTCCTATCTCTGTAAAACACTGTCTCTCCTCTTCCTAGAAGCCATCAATTGCCAAAAGCTTCTTTGGTTTGGCTGGGATTCTTTTTTTTCAAACATTTTTATTGAATTTTTGTAATTTCCATACAATATAATTTGATGATATTTATATCCACTCATCCACACCTCCCCACATTGACCCCCTCCACTCAATTCAATGTATTCTTTCTGTGTAATAAAACCTATCAGTCTAACTTTAATCCCCAAATGATCTCCATTGTGGGTTTACCACTGGAGCTTGCATAGGACTTGTGCGTGCTGTCACCATTGCTGTGAGTTCATATGAGCAACTGACCAGTTGTCTGGAGAACTTTGCCTCCCCCCCAAATGGTCATCCACCTCCTCTGGCTCTTAAAATTTTTCCATCTCCTTCTCTGCAATGATTCTCAAGCTCTGAGCTCCAGAAGCCTGACAGAAGCATTCCACTAAGAGATGGAACGCCATAAATTTCTGTGTCGATCACCATCTGCTGCATAAGGAAAATTCTCTGGTGTGAATTGAAAGATGCATTAATCTTCAACAGTGGGTGAGCACCTGATCCAGCACAGTCCATTCTGATCATTTCTCCTGGGACTGGGAGTCCATATTATTATGAGAGTACCACCGTTACATGTCACTGGAGAGGATCACAGCTTTATCTCACAGGAGGGGACCATAGCTCCAGCCCACTGAAGCAGACCACAGTTCCAGCTCACAGGTGGGGAAACATAGCTCTATTTCACATGATTGGGATTCTTAACTAGTTCCTGATGGCTACGCTGGGGTTTTGTCTGGCTTGAGATTGCATAGTACTTCTGTGTGCTGTACAATTGCTGTGAGTTCGTATGAGTATCTGACCAACTGTCTGAAAGACTTTGTTTCTTTGTGGCCATCCACTGTCTCTGGGTCTTACAATCCTTCTTCCTCTTCTTCCACTATGATCCTTAAGCCTTGGGAGGAAGAAGTTTGAAGTAGGTGTCCTATCCATGGATAAGCACTCTATGGCCTCTAGTTCTGTGCACATTTTAGATATTAAGTACGTGAGTATTTTGCCTACATGTGTGTAAGTGCTCCATCTGTGTACAATCCCCGTGGAGGCTAGAAGACTGCCTCATAGTCCCTGGAACTGGAATTATGGACAAGTGCTTGCTGCCATAGGGACACTGGAAGCTGAATCCACGTCCTTTTCAAGAGAACCAAGTGGTGTTAACCACTGAGCTCTCTTTCCAGTTCCTTTTGTCTTATTTTCTGCATTGAGATTTACCTGAATTTATTTTGTTGCTTTAAAAAAAAACACAGGTATAGTCTTTCAGTTGAGTATTTGCAATTTTCAAATGTGATACGAATGCGGTAAAGTTGTAGTGCATAATTTAGAAAATAGATTCCTAGTCTAAGAACTCCTGGTGCCTGGTGTAAAATCTTGTCTTTTTTCAACAAAACATTTTCTATGTATTTATTTATATTTCCTGCCTGTTATGACATTATAATTACAGCCTCTCTTAATGAGTAAGTTTTGCACCCATTTACTATTTGAATATATTATTAATGGCTAATATGACTATTTTTTCATTTTATTTTAAAGTTGCTCTCTGAAAATTCATTTATTTGCTATTTATTTACTTTTTTACTTATTTTTTGTGTGTGTATGTATGCAAGTGAACATGCTTGTGTGCTATGGCACAGGTATGGAAGTCAGAGGACACCTTTCAGGAGTGAATTTTCTTCTTCAACCATGTGGGAACCAGATATTTAACTCAGATCATGAGGTTTGGTGGCAAGCACTATTATTTGCTGAACAATCTCACTAGATCCAAATCTTGTTCTCTTTTCAGACAGCTTCCTTTCCTTTATTTTCAATGCATGTAAACATTTTCATGTGTTTAAAAAAATCTTTAGAAGTTTTTGTTGTCAACTGCCTATTTTTTATAATACATTCTCTCATTAACCCTAAACAGGAGATAGCCTTCTTCAATGGATTTTATGTGTTTAGTGAAAATGCTTTTGTTATAGTAGTCTTAACTTTAGAGTCAATCCCTTGATCTAATTATAGAATACAGCTGTAGGGTTACTCCCATCCTCTTTGAAGGTAGTGATTTTAGTAGACAATCTTTTGTGATCTCATTTATTATTCATCCACAGATTGGGGTATACTTATGATCTATGTTAATGTATAGATGCACAAATTGTTCCACATTTTGATCCAATAAAATTTAGAGTCTTTCCTGTTGTGTTGTAAATGAAAAGGTATAATTTTTATACAACTTCAATTATTGAGTAATTCCCTTAGATGTTAAAACTACAAAATCTTCTGATAAATGAAGTTATTGCTTGCTGAATGTCTGCAAAATTGATTAGAAGCCTACAACTTCTCTAGGCAGTAGTCCCATTGACTAGGTAGCTATTTTATTTCTGGAGGGATGTCAAATATATATATTACAAAACCATTTCTGCCTGACAAAGTCCAAAGTCCAAAGTGTAGGATTTTTGGGTCAAAAACAGTGTTTCAATTTTATTTGAAAAGTCAGTGAGATTATATTCCCACAGAAATAATTTTCTTACTTTCTCAACCTCCTGGAAAACTATTTACTAATTGAATCTGTGTGTTTTATGTATCAGTGACCTTTGCCATCTTTTATTTCCTCCTGGTCATTTTGCTTCCATCAGTGCTTGTTCATCTAATCTTCTATTTTGTATTTTGTAGTGTTTATGCTTTTTATTAATGATTCACAGGAATTTCCACTATATAATGCATACCAACCCCCAAGAACATGCTATAATTGAAAGAGCTGATTTATTACTCAAAAATCAAATAAAATAACAAATGAGGACTATGAAATTAACTTCTCAGGAAAGACTTGCTAAAGCAACTTATGTTTTAAAATTTTTAATTTTTTTTCTTTTTTAAACCAAGGTCTCCCTGTAGCTCCAGCTATCTTGGAAATCACTAAGTTAACCAGGATGGCCTCGAATTCACAGAAATCTGTCTGCCTCTGCCTCTCAAGTGCTGGGATTAAAGGCATGTGCTACTGTGCCTGGCAAATTTTTCAATTTGTTACTCAGAGTTTCCTCCCTCTTAACATGTGCAGAAAAGCATCATAAGAAACACAGTTTTACCAAAACCCATGGTTTTACATAAATTCCCTCAAGGGCCCAGCTAATGACTATTTCCTGTTCTTATTAATTGGGGCAGAGCCACCGCATCTGTGATTTCCTGTAGATAGACCCACACTGGATCCCAGTGTGGCTGGCAATTACATACCATAAGATGGCACCAGAAGACAACAGCTTGGTAACAGAAGAGACAGCCTTTCCTGGATTTCAGCCACCTGGATATCTGTACTGCTTTTGCCCATGACACCATTTTCCATATTATTACCTAAAATCAAGTAATGTTGACTCATGCCTCTCCTCAAGCCTAACCAGCCCACTGCCAGTGACCACTCCACTGAACATGCTTCTTCTTCAGTAAAATGAAAAAATATAGAACTGTAGAAATGACTTTTTGGGGGACTGTAACCTGCTGTAACCTGCTTTATCAAATATTATAACCAAAGTTAATCTCACATTTTGAGATCATTTCATACTATCAATTCAATCTTCCTTTTTTCTGGGTAATCAATTTATTTAAATTTAGCTAGTCTTTAGGAAAACTGTAGACTTTTAAGGCTTTGGGCTCCTCCTGTACTCAGCTTTTACAAACTAGGCTAAACACATAGCTTTTAATACTAAACTATTACGTATTTCTCCCTCATGACCATCTTTGCCCCTGACCCAGAATAGTGAGTGTATTTTTGTGTGTTTATTGTGAAGATCTTATTGTTGAAATCAGCAACATTAGAAGCAAGGGATTATCCACAATATGCTGGAAGCAACATCTAGACTTAAGTTGATAACATGTTTATGGTTTTATGCTGTTCTGGGTCAGTGGGTATCAGAAGTTCCTCATTCCTTTCTGATATTATGCTGTATGCCCTGTCTAAATACAGAGGAAGTCCCTTGTTTGAGGAACAATTCCAAGAAATAATGAGAAAAGAACAGTTAAAGACTAGATCAGGCTTGCTTTGGTATGAACAACTCCAAGAATTTTGCCTTTCTTCAATCAGGTGTAGCTACATTGTGGCATTTGTCACAAGCTTGTTTAGTGAGCCAGCTTGTCCTGGGATTCTTCATCTCTGCCTACAGATTGCTATGATTATAGGTGGCTGCAAAGACTGCCTGGCTTTTACTTGGGATCCAGACATCTGAGCTTTGTCATCATACTTTCAGGGCAAGCACTTTTTCTAGTAGGCATCATCTTAGATCTACAATATTTTCTTTCTCTTCTTCTCTTAAATGTGTTGATGATTAATTAAGCTGAGTAGAAATTCTACTTTAATGTGAAATATAATTTCTAAAGCCTACCAAATAACAAGTTTTAATTAACTTTGAAATGAATCCATGCCTTAGGATAGGGAGTATATTCTGGCAGACTTAGATGATGGATTTTACCTAATAAAGGTCACTAACTTTTTCAGTTTGGACCACTTTTCTCTTATAATGTGTGTTGCCTCACTATTATTCACTTTATGTTTTTTTTTTGAATATTTGTGGCTTGATTAATCTGTATTTTTTATTAACTGTGCATTTAAAGCAAATTTCCTTGTTACTAATTATGGTCATAGTGTGACTAGACTTGTAGGAAAATGTCTAATCACAACAAAAAATTAACTTTTGCATTGCTGTTAAGGGGGGAATAGAACACCAAAGTACAATACAAAAGAAAACTTTTATTTGTATAGTAGAATATATTGAGCAAGAATCATCATTTCACCCTCTTTCAGAGACTCACTGAATTTTACAACAGACCTGTAAATAGCCTGGATTAGTTACTTTTGCATCTCTTTGGAAGAATGGCTGAGAGAAAGACCTTAAGGGAGGAAATTTTACTTTAAGCCTCAGTTTCAGAGGGTTTCATTCCATCATAGCAGGCAAGGCATGGAGGAACAGCTCAGTTCATGGACACAACAGCATGTAGATGAGCCTGATTTCGTCAGGATAGGCCAGAAAGCAGAGGCAGAAGCCAGAGATGAACTATATAACCTTCAAAGTTTGCACCCTGTGACCTGCTTCTCAGGTTAGGCACACTTCTAGAAAGTTCTCCGACATCTAAACAGTGTCAATAGCTTGAGTACAGGGACTGAAAATATGAAACCGTGGGGCACATTTTATGTTCTAAAAAACCATGAAAATAAGTGAATCAGAGTCCAGATTAAAACCCCGAAGAACCCACACCTGGTGACTTACATTTCTTACTGAGACTATTCCTTCAAAAGATTTCCACAATCTCCCAAAACATCATCACAAGCTAGAAAGCAATGTATCAAAATGTGAGCTTGGGGAAACATTTCAGATTTTGAATACATTAGAGGCTAAGTGATATGACTTCTTTTGAAAACAACAACAACAACAACAAAATAACTGTCACTCTGTGTGTAGATATAGGGGAGAAAAATGGAACAATTGACAACATTGGTTCACACTAAAATCTGAAATGAGAATGACAGTACCTAGGTTTATCTTTGATAAAGACTAGGAGGAAAAACCAGTGAAGGAATTAGCTTGACAAGTCAGAGACCCTCTCAAGCAGAAAATTTAATATAGAAACAGGTAAGAATAGTGTTTAATGTTATGGAGATATGCCTCTTCTCAGAGGAAGACAATCCTTATAATCAGCTATTTAGAAGAAAAAAAAGATGTTGAAGATGGTATACAGTAAAGTAACAAAAATAATGACCTCTGTCATACAAATGGAAAAGTTAATCTATACTCAAATCCTGACCATTGAATGGTATTATTTGTGAGTCTTCAAAAAGAGAATGAAGTCAGAGCAGATGGGGTATGTGAAAAAGGTATTGATACAGAGAAAACCTTAAAAGGGTTTAGGTTTTACCAAATTTATGAACCACAATTACATTAAGCATTTAGGTAATTGCATTAAGTAACAATTGCATTGAGTAATTATTAGGGATCGCTCGTGAATTACAACCGAAAATTTCATAATGAACACAGTTTTATTTTGATAGCTTTAGAATTTTTAATTTTGTCCGAAATTCTTTGTCTTAAACATGTAGTAAATCCCTGAAAAACTCAGCTAGCAAGTTGTGAAATGACATTTCAGAGGGAAAAGCACCTAGCATCACAATCTCTTCTTGCTGGGATAAGCTAACAAAAGACCATCAATCAGGACTCTGGGTCAGGTTTCAGTACAATTACTCCCTTTTCTTCTTCTTTTCAGCTTTAGCCACCTTATGGCAACAAAAGAGGCAGAATTTTGTAATGATAAATACCACAGCTGCCCCACAGGCCAGCAGGAATCCAATCACATCCAGAGAGTGGTACTGGAACCAGTTGAGGTCGTGGAGAGCTGGGCGTAGGTGCTTGGCTCCTTTGTGGCGCATGATATACTCGATCCAGAAGACTGCTCTGTCTAGGGGCTTCACTGGCTGATCATGTTGGATTCTTGATAGCTTCATAGCATTCTCTTTATAGCTGAAGAAGAAATATTATGTTATAGCTGAAGAGGAAATATATATGTATACACACATATATATGTGTGTGTATATATATATATAGAAATATATATATATAATATACATCAACATTAAGAAAAAGCTAATTTGCATTCATTATTATCCTAATTCTGCCTTAACATGTGGGATTACCATTGTGTGCCACTACTTGAGCACCATCCCTATAGGATATTTTTTTACTCCAACCCCATCCCTACATGACAATTTTTTCTAATTGAAAGTTTTCTGGTTGAGTAATATTTTCCAAAGTGGCAAGAGCATGTCGACTGGGAGAGTTATTTCTTTTCCATCAGGGGAAAGGGTCATGCATGATTTAAATTCAGTATGTGAAGTAGAAATAGAATTTGAGGCTTGTCTTAAGCTTTGAATGGGTGCTAATGTCATGGTGGATTAGGCCTCTATTCACTGATATGTTTCTATTCTTTTACCTTCTAATTTTTAATTTCCACCTAGTAACTAGATTAATGTTCTGAAAACATCAGTTCAATTATGAATACCTTTTACAAAATTTCTACTAGACTTCTCAAAAAATCCAATTTCTGGCCTAGGACTAGGAATGAGAATGTAAAAACCAGCAGTATTTTCTCCTGTCACTTAGTTTTGAACATATCTCTCAGAATAATTCTACTTATAAAATAAATTCTGTAGAAATTTTTATAATTCAGATAACATGTGTAAAACAAATGCTTTGTCATTATTATTAAAGTTCATGATTCCTTTTTTGTATAGATTCTGTCATATTTAGAAATAATGTCCTTTCTACCTGTGGATCTATTTTTCCAATTGTATCTGTGTATGAATTTTTTGGACTAATGATTGCACATTTATCTTTGTAGTACAATAGTTGAGAATAATTTTATTTTTGCAAATAAGCACACATTTCATATTTAGAAAATTACTCCAATTCTGTAAGAGCTCATAGCTTTGAAAAAGGGATAAAACTCTTTTATGATGATAATCTTTCTAAAAATATTTTAAAGGATTTATTCTTTTAAAAATGCACGTGTAAGCCAGGCGTGGTGGTGCACAACTTTAGTCCCAGCACTCGGGAGGCAGAGGCAGGCAGATCTCTGTGAGCTCAAGGCCTGCCTCGTCTACATAGTGAGTTCAGGTCAGCTGGGACTACAGGGAGACTCTGCCTCAAAAAGACAAAAAAAAAAGTGTGTGTATGTATGTATGCTTGTGTGAGCTTATGCGTACCATGTGTATGCTGGTGCCCTTCGTAGGTCAGAGGACATCAGAACTCCTGGAACTGGAGTTTATTAGTCACTCGATGTGAGTGCTGGGAAACAAACTAGGGTCCTTTGAAAGAGTAGCAGGCCCTTGTAAATGTTGTGCCATTTTTCCATCTCTCTTCCAATAGATATTTTTTAAATTAGGCATACTCACGAAGGGTCATTAATGACTGTCCTCAGGGCAGTAAGAAGATCTGTAGTTGACAGTGTGCTGTAGTCCAATCTCACAGCTGCTCCTTTGGCCACCATGCGAGCAATGTTATCATGCTGATCCGCAAACAAGGGAATGCCCACCACAGGAATGCCATGGTAGATTGTCTCATACATGCCATTAGTTCCCCCATGAGCTACAAAAGCTTTGGTTTTTGGATGACCTACAATGACAGATTTTTCACAGAATTATTGTAAGTATTGGCAAGACATACGAAGAGTTAAAAGGAAGCAGATTCCATAGAAAACAGATTATTCTAGTTATAAAGTTGGAATAAAATTGTATCAGAAATTTAAAGCAAGAGGCTCTTAAACACATGGGAAATGGGAGGTTGCCTTAAAGAGATAGAATGTGACTCCAGATTTGAAAAATGAAAATGGAATTTCCAGATGAAACAATAAAAAGAATATTTTGGGTTAAAGAAGTAGTATGTATCAATAGAAAAAAAGTCTATGTGGTACATGTACAGGTTGAGATTTTCTTAAAAAAAAAGTGAGGGCATTGTGTCTGGTATGTGTAGAGTGCAAGCCAGCAGGATGTTGGATAGTGCAATCAGAGGACACACAGGCTACACTGCCTCAAGAAATAACTATTCATGGAAAAGATCATGGCTTTCTTTGCAGTGTTAGTGATGATACAAGGGATTATGGTTTTCAGATGCATTTGAAATACTACTATAGTAGGAGAAAGGTTCAGAAAAGACCAAGAAACAAGAGACAGGAGCAATCCAGTGAGCCGCTGAGCAATTTTTGGGGCAGTTATTATGGCTGAACTAAAGATACATTGATTCTAGGCATTGGGAAGATGATTTTGTATAAAAAAACAACATTTTTTTCTTAGTTCTTTTCCATTAAGAATTATGAAAATAAATATAAACACTGTTGCATTATATTTGTGCATCTTCCTAGTTAGCCATTGCCTTTGTTGTTTTCACTCTTTATTGGCCTTTATATTACCGAGAAGGTCATTCTGGGGCATCCATTTGTATAGCCGTGTATTGGATCCAAGGGTGTCTGGTTTCTTGCCATCAAATCTCCATAGAACCTGTTACACACAGAAAACACATTATTAAAAATTCCTTGGAAGACAAAAGAAAAGTGAGGAAGAACCCAATAGAGGGATACTTTTGAAAGCCCTTGTCAAGAAATGCCAATGGACTCTCATATGAACATTTGAAAATTGCCCTGTTCTGACTTTTTTCCAGTTCCCTGTCTAGAACTTGTAATGCTAATTACTCTTGCCTCTACTTCTCCTTCACATCTCCTATTCACGATTCAAGGACTTTCTTTTCCCCTTAGCGATAAGAATTATGCAATTTGTGAGTCTTTTAGATAGACTCACTGAAAGGGTACTCCAATTGCCTCACCCTGCATCCCTGTTCAGCATGGAAGAAGCCAGAGTGGTAGGCATCCCTATTCCCTACTGACAATTTGGGTAACCCCTTCAGAGGATGGTGTGATAAGAATAGGTGGTAGGAATTGGCCAGGCACTTAGGGTGAAAAGACCCCAAAGAAATGTTGCCAGTTACTTGGCTAAAAGTCAAAATGTCCTTGGGCCTGTTAGCAACATTCTCTGTTCCAAGCTTGTATCTAATCCTTAAAAGATTTTAGAGTTACCTCTTCAGAGGGGGAAATGTTGGAGGGGAGGGAGTGGGCATGGATTTGATGAAAACACCGTATATACATGTATGAAAATCTCAATAAAGTTTTTGTAAAAATTAAAAAAAAATTCCAAATTTCATCACGTTTTAATTTGTAGAGAGTTAATTTATCCAGTTGAACATTTTCCAGGTGTTTGACAAGGAAATTAATTAACACAAGATGTTTTAAAATATTGGGAGGTATCAAAAGATGTAAATAAATACTCTACTACATTTCTTGAACATTACTTTATCATTACTTCATCATGATATTTAGTCATAATATTGTAAAAGTGTGATGATTAATGACCAATTAAAATATGTATGACATTCTGGGTAGATCATAGAATTGTGATGAGGAAAATTGTAGCCAGTTAGTAGTAATGTACAATTACTTTATATATGTATATATATTTATGTATATATTTATACTTATATATTTATGTTACTATATTAGGGTATTGATGATGTTTTGCTTTGCATGACTAACATAACCTGATAGTTGAAATAAGGATCAAAGATGGTTGAAATTTCAGAGCACATCATAACCAGATAGCTCATGGATAACTATTAAATTTTACTGTAAAATGCATGCTATGCATGCTACCCCCCACCAGGAATAGTGAGTGTAATGTAAGTGACTAGTGTGATAGCTAATGAACAAGAGTGGCTGAAATGCTTCCTAGTTGAATTATGCTCTAGGAATGAAGAACCAGCACAGTACGGGACAGAGCAGCAGGCACTTACTGCCAAGTCCTCCTACAGCAAGCTGCTTCCGGTGGGTCTTATGGAGACGTATGAGAAAAATGACTTTCCATATGCATAACTTTTCAACATCTAGAGGGAAATCTGTTAGTTGCTGCTCAGTAATGGAAGGCATCCATGACAGATAACATTGCAGCCGTTACCTGTTTAAGGTGGTGACTACAGGCTTCCTGTCTCCAGGGTTTGCCTGGTCTTCACACTAGTAAGCAATTTGAACAAAAATACCCCAGGAGTCCTAACACCTGGATCCATCAGGTTCTTATTCATTCATTCTTTTAATTAGCATGCACTAGACTAGTTTTCAGTATGGTATTTACAAGATGTTTTTCAGTTGATTGTGCTCTACCCTCTTCTCCCTCATCTGCTCCTCCCTTGCCTCTTCCAAATCTGTGCCTTCCATTCTGCTTCCTCATTCACATACACACACACACACACACACACA